ATCTACCTTTTTTTTTTTTAATATTGTAGTTGTAATGGCATATAATAGGTGATTTTTACATTTTAGTTCGTCAATTAGTATTAAAGAGAACTTTTATATTTTTACATTTCTCCTTTGTTAGTATCAATAGTTGCTCCATCTATCATATCCTTTTTGTCAGATAAGTCAATATCTGACAAAAGCATGCAGTATTGTCATTTCTAATATGAGGCAGTATCGTCATTTGTTGTTTGGTGGTCAAAACTACCAATGTCAACGTCATTATGCAGTCGAAACTACCAATATCAAAACTACCGATATTACAGCGAGTATCCTCATTTTTATAGCCTTCAGGAAAGATGTGTTTCCCTATCAAGTTGATGATGAATATTACATACCTCGGACCCTTTGATGGTTTTGGAGCCTAGAGTTATTAATGATATCCAAAATAGCCAATATCGAAATCTTTACTGTCTCAGACCATGGAGGAGGTACTGGAAATAATTGGGCAAGTGGTTATCATCAGGTTTGTGATATGCATGATCAATATGCACTTATAGTTTATGAGTTCAGTTTCTTACTTTCTTTTTTTCCATTATGGAATTCTCTTTTCTACTTGTTCTTGAAAAAATCGTTGACTTACTTGTTCTTGGAAAAATCGTTGGCAAAATTTCTTTTTTTGGGTATTTTGTATAAATTAAAATTGGTTTGATGAAATCCAATTCTATCAATTGATAAATTTCAAAATTCAAAGTTCAAACTTTATCGTGACTTGTGTTTTATTTACAGGAAGAAGGTTCTTACATAATTGTTAGTGACATATAGTTATCTAATGGCAATTGCCATGATGTATCAGATTCCTGTAAATCTCTGGAGTTATACGCCTTATCACATCAATTATAAAATATGTAAAACACAGTAAATAGAACCAATTTACCTTGGTTTTGGGTTTCTCACAGCCATGAACATTTAGAGAAGCTTATGCTTTTGCACGCATGTGTTGGAATGACTAATTTGGATAGAAGTTTCTTATGCAGTTTGTGTTAAACACCTAGTATTTTGCAAACTAATTTGATCCCACTATGGAAGGAAATCTTCGATTTGTCAAGTCTTTGTTGCTTGGTTTGTCTTATCAACTGAGATCCATTTTGGGTTGGAGGATCTATGCGAAATGTGTCTGTTCTAGTTTGTACCTTATTTTCCATATTAAACTAATCTATTCCAGTCCTTGGTGTAGCAAAATCGTCAGCAACAAGAGAGTATAAAAAGAAGAAACTTTCATCCACCAAAACCCAAAACTAGAACACATGATTTGAAACAAGAGAGAGAATCAGTGTACCATGTTCATGTTCTTCAAGGAAAACAAGATTTTATTTCTTCTTAAATGACAAAAGTCTGAAGAATCAAATCTCTAGCTGCGTGAGGGTCACATCTCCCGGTTTATATATAAAAATAAAGAATTAGTTAACAATAAATAAGACCCCATCCACCCCCCCCCCCCCCCAACCCCTCCCTTATAGGTTTTTATGAATACCTTCTATTATAGGTTTGTCTTTAAATAATGCAATTATAGGTTATTGTTGAATGGGATAAATTCTTATTGCCTCTATATGGATGCATAAGTGGTGAATGTATGTCACATAGTTGTGTTCATTCTATTGCATTTTCAATTATGTATGTTTAAGCTATTAAGCTATTACAGGTTATTGTTGAATGGGCTGGTTTTGTACATGGTTTATATATGGTTGGATGAATTGTGAATGTTACTTGACATGCATCACAAATGTTTTAAGAGATAACACACAAATTTTATGCACTATTGTAATCTTTGATATGGCATGACTTTTAAAGCTATAGCTTATAATGACATGGTTGTATTATATTTTTGGATAAGAGTGCCATCTTCATGGAAAGTAACTTTTAAAAAAAAAATGTGCCATGGAAATCCCAATGAGAGTAGTTTTATTTAGTTGACTTGCTGTCTAGATTGTCTTATTACTATCTATCATTATGAAGCATAGGTATGCAGATACCTTGCATATGTACAACGTTTCGAGAGAAGGCTAGGTATGTTGATCACCTCTTCAGTCCTGCCCTGTCGTGTGGAATATGTTGTCTTTCATCTTGGACCTCTTTAGGCTACCTAGGTGATGCCATGTAAGGACAGTAGTTGCATTCAGTTTACTAGCTTGCATGGATTGTCTTCTTATTTTGATCATCAGGAAACAATGCAACATAGGCATAGAAAGCCAATCATGTTTTTCTTCAAAGTGTCTAGGCGATATAGATATGCATTCTTGTTGTTGTAGAATTTGGTTATGGGATTGTACTTTGAGCTTCTAATGATTACTAAAATTCATTGTGGTACTTTGTTCTGGCTTTCTCTGCATTTTCTCTATTTATGTTTGAGCTATAATGCCTTGTACTTTTTATTATTTATTTATGCTTAATATTTAGTGCCATCTAGTTTAAAGAAATCAACCTAGCAAGGCTTTATTATAACTACCAAAGATTACCATAATAATATGGGCCAGTGGAACCCTATAAAGGAGGCCCAACTCATTGATCTTTTGTTGAAAGAGGTCAAGAAAGGGGGGACGGAGGAGGGGGCTTCAAGAAAGGCACATGGAATCGGATGACATAGTATATGGTAAGCAATTATGAGAACTTTTATGACTTAGAACGGCTGAAGAGTAAGGTCAAGCAGTTTGTAGCAATGTATAGAGAAGTAAGAAACATTTTGATACAACCAGGTTTTGGCTGGGCTAAGGCTAATCGAATGGTGACTGTCGAACCAGCCATATGGGATCAGTGTACAACAGTGAGTTAAAAAGTATTTATTGTCAATTTCTTTTGTGGTTTTGCAAGTTTAGGTGCAATGTTCACACAAATTCAATACATACATGTGTTCTCTTTACAGGAGTTTACTTTTGTGACAAAGTACAGAGGCAAGTCTTTGTCTGTATACTTCAATGAATTGGAGAAGATATTTGGCACAAATGCTTTGGATTGAAGCCATGTGGAAGGGTGAAGAAATAGGTGCTGATGTCTTCCTTAAGGCATCTCGACATCTCAAAACTGTCTTCCTAAGCATCTAGTCTTTGCTTTAATTAAAGTTCTAACTGTTGTCTAAATCTTTTTTTTTTTTAATGTTGGGAACATTGTGGGACAAACAACAATGTTATTTTATTATTGAATGAGATATATTTTTGACGTTGAGATATAGATGCATCAGTGGTGAATGTATGTCCAAGTTGTGTTCAAGCTATTACAGGTTATTGTTGAATGGGCTGGATTCTGACTGCTTGCATATGGATACATTAATTGTGCATGTGTGTTTGTATGTTGTGCTCCAGCTATTATAGCACATTCCAAGAGAATACAGGAAACCAAATCCATAATTGCCATGACCACCGATAGATATGAGTATGAATGTGTTTGTGCGCGTGTGTGCGTGAGAAATAGCGAGAGAGCTTGTATTCGGTTTAAGAAAAAAGTCATCGACTACCTACTTATAAGATTTAAACACTTATTCCACTTCATAATTGTAAAAAGACTCAACAAATTGTATACCCACAATAGTCAAGAAAATATATTGAATTGAAGTTGTGCTTGACATTGTCCAGAGACTACTTCAATTTTGAGGTGCAATGAAGCTTATCATCCAACATCAGCTTCAATTGTTGTATAAATATCTCTCTCTAGGAGCTTCTCACACTCATCAATAAAGCTCTCTTTCTCTCTCTCTCTCCCTCTCTCAATCCAACGTACTTTACTTTCAATTGATATTTTATCCCAAAATATAAAATTCTAAAAATTAATAAAAAATAAATCATATCTAGATTTCAATTTTAACATTTTACATCTTTCCTATTACTTCTACAGCTAATCCAACACAGATACCCAGAACTTCTTAGTCTTTCAGCATGTTATCAAACACAGGTACTTAGAACTTACTTAACATTTCAGGAGGTTATGAAAACAGAAACCCATAACTTCTTTAACATTTCAGCATATTATAATACACAGAAACCCATAACTTCTTATAGCAACTTCTTTCTTCCCAGAAAAGAGGAACTTCCAATTTACAGTTCATGATTTAACTTCCGTTTATCAAACATGCCTTACTTATACCCTAAAAAATATTCATCCAAAGTGATCACCACAATGTTATACCCATCTTTTGAGATACCATGTGTAAGCCATTAGTGAAGAAGCTGACTAGTATTTTCGAGTATATAAGCGGTTTAGGCACTGATGAGCTCAATACCACAGATTCATCACAAAGGGACAATCAAGAAAAAGAGGTTGGGCCGTTTCATTATTAGCTTAACAAAAAAATACAAACATTAGTTATAATAAAACCCCTTTTTCTCAACTTATCAATAGTAGCTAGTTTATCTTGGCACAAAATCCATAAGCATAATTGAACTTTTAAAGGCACAAGATGCTTTTTTATCGTAGAAAGTCTAGCATTTAATTACCTAATACGATTACAAAAGAAGAGATCATAGACTGACTTAACTGAAAAGGCTCTTGAGTGATTAAGATCTGTAATGATTGCATCTTCTTTGTTTGTTGAGATATAAACGTTTTGAAACATTTCCATAAGAGATTGGTATTATCAATAAATCTATCATAAACTTGATGAATGATTTCGCACTTTGGGCTTTGTGAGGTCTCAATTAGACCCTGACCAACTATACTCGTTTGAGAAACCAGTTGTTAGGATTCTACACGACTCTAACCCAGGGTTTGCGCTTGGCTCACTGAGACCGGAGTCTGTCATCTGAATCAGCCTAACCAATGGTCAAGCTTCCATAACCTGAGAGGGAGTGCGTGGCAAATTGAACGACCAGATGTTGATTATATATATTTTTTAAAATTCATACAAATTTTCCCACTTCAAGGGCACGTGGCCGACTTCTGTTGGCTACACGTAGGTGTAACGTTGGCTACACGTAGATAAAGCATACACGTGATTGAACTTGGTTCTTTATCCCTTCCGGCCTCTCTCTCTCCGTCCGACCCGACCCTTTCGTCAGCTTTTATCTCTTCATTATCCATCCAGAAACAAAATAATATAATATACCACACCTGGCCTTCTTCCTCCTCTCATTGGACACCTCCCAAATGAGAGATGCTCCTTCTTCATCTTCATTTTTAGTTTACCAGCCACAAGCTCTTCCTCCTTTCTCCATTAATATCCAGAATGGGCTCTTTTGTCTTTGCCCTAGCGCTTCAGTTGAGGTGCGTTAAGCTTGATGCCTAAGCAAAAAAAATGGCATCATTTTGATTTTGATGTCTTGTCATTTTATAGGTACCCCTGGTCTGCAACAGTTGTGATGGTGATTTTGAGCCATTGAAATAAGATGCCCTTCTTTTCTTCTTTGATTTAATGGGAAACCTGATGACTTCAGAGTTGGTGCTTCCCCTTTTTGGCTAATTCAGAACTTGATTGCTCACTGCATTTGATCATTGATTCCCATATCATTTCTGTATTTAGGATTTCTTTTTCTTCCTCTTTTTGGAGAAATGGAGTTTAATCGATTAGGGCTCGTTGTGTTTCAGTATGAATGGTGTCCTTACTATACCTGATTGTGTTGGATAAGAAATAGCAAGTGTTGATTCTTTAATTCATCATTTTTGGAGATAGTTTAGGGTTTTTTCAGTTATGGTTTCTATGAATGCATCGCATGCACAGAGGGCTGCACTTTCTGGCAAAGATAATGAAGTTGGGGGGTTTCCTGTTGAATCATTTCTTAATTCTTTGAATTCCATGAAAGATGCCCTCTTGCCTTTTGAATTGGGCATTCAGCGAGCTGCAAAGGAATTGGAATCTTGCTGGTTAGGTCCCAAAAATGGAACGGGGAATATGTGGATGTTGAAAGTTCCTATCAAGGAGGAGCCCGATGCCAGCGCTCGGAACTTTTCTGTTAAGAAGAATGGCCATGGTGCTGGTGTTTCTTGTTCGAGTAGTGTTCCTTCAGCATCTATTGATGATAGAAAGAAAAGCTTCACTTTGAAGATCCCTATTAAGGCTTGGGGCACACTTTTTCCCAACTCAGGGAGCAACAGTAAAGGGGAAGTCGCAAAGAAGGTCTCAAAAGAGAGGGTGGAGAAAATAGCAAGTACTGATTCGTTGTGTGATTCATCGGCTGGTAAAGATGAGTCTTGCACAACTTGCTTGCAATTTGCCTTGACCTGGTCGCTCCTTCTGAATAACATAGCACAGGCAATTCCAAGTCCTTTCAAAAGTGTGAAAAAATGTTTCCAAAAGCAAGGAAATGATTCCTATATGATTGATTCTAGACTTCCAAGGACATCGACACCATGTAAGAGGAAGCAGCAGAGAACTGATGGCTATTCAGTAAAATGTCAAGACAATGTTGGGAATAAAGAAGGAGAAGCCTTTTCCTTTGAGTTTTTATTGGGTTTGGTATTTGATCATTGGTTACAAAACCTTCACAAGTTTGATCAGTGCATTCGAGATACGAAATATGATCATGGTGCTCCAATTAGTGGCAAAGAACAAGAATTTGTATCCAAAGACTGTGACAAGAAAGGCGCAGAATGTTCCCAAACTCACTGTCTTGGGGTCCTGACAAGTATTTGGAAAGGTAGAAAAGCGGATGTTGATGGGTTATTGGGGAACCTCAGATTTGCTAGGATGAATGGGGTACCAAGTATGTTGGGTGTGACTACAGTCAAAGATGATTGTCAAGATGATTCATGTAGTAGTGGTGGTAGTGACCCAGAGGCCAATACTCCACAGAAGCAGGCAATTGGGTTGCTTCAGATTCCATTATCAAATGTTGAGAGATTGAAAAGCACACTCTCTACTGTCTCGTTCACTGAATTGATTGATTTAGTCACACAGATAGGGCGTTCCTCAAAGGATCATCCCGATAAAAAGAAACTTTTTTCAGTACAGGATTTCTTTAGGTATACTCAATCAGAAGGTATGGAGTATCTGTTCTCATAATTCTTTTGTTCATTATATGTGATACATTTTTGTGTTGACCCACAAATATTTTGTTTATTAGAACAAAATAGAAGCTAAGGCTTCATATATTTCACCAAGTTTGATTGTGGTAATCATGATAAATTATTTTCATGCAGTAAGTGTATTGATTTAACATGTGGATACTCAGTATTTAAGCTAAAGTTCCATAGTTTTTCATGATCACCTAGTACATTAGACTAGTCAGGCTGTAGAAGTCAAATGCTGTAAAGCAGTAGGTTGTCTGTTTCAATAGAAGACACACAGGACAAAACAAGTGACTCTTGTGGTCAGATTCATTTTGAAATGATGGAATGCTTACAAAACCTTCCTAGAGCTGCCAGGCTACCTAGGTTCATTGATGAAGCTCTGTTTGTGTCAGGATTACAATGCGAATTTTATTATTGTGGAGCAGGAAGAGTTCGAATGTGATGAGATTTAAGGAGTAGTAGTAGTTTAAAGGGTATGTTTAATATGTAATAAGAATGAGTTATGCATTATTCGGTTTTTTGTTATTTGGATATTAAAAATTAGAAGCAAGATTTGTTGTATAAAATTAATATGTAAGTATTCGCCATGGGCTACTTATTGCTTCTACAATTTTTGAGTTATCGCCATTATATGGCTTGAAAGAATTAACAGTGTTGGATTCTATTCTTTTTGAGTAATGCCTTCTTTGCTGTGGGAAGGATGATTTGGTATTGGTAAGCCCCTGATGAGAATGTATCTTTCTAGTAAATTAGGCGACATTCCCTTGCAAACTGAAGGTCTGTGGTTTTCAAACTTGTGTTCGAGAATCTGTTGCTTGTGCAGCTGTCTCTTGCTTTATGGAAGAATCTCTCAACTGTCACATGGTGAACTCGTCTCTTTTTCTATAATTGCTCTTGTCTTTCTCTTGTTCCTCCCTCACTTCTTGTAGGTTTTAGAGGTACAAAACTAGGCACCAGCCCCTTCTCATTCTGGAGTTATCACCTTGCTGCATACTGTCCATCTCAAGCATATTCTGCATTCAGCACCTCTTTGCAGTACAAATTTCACTTCTTTGAGAGCTTTTTAGTGACAGAAATATCTCAATTCCATATTAAATTACTTGAATTTTTTCGTTCATTCAAGCATATAAGTCGTAGAAATGACCCAAAAAATATATCTTCCACGATCTACGTGCCTGACATTGAACGTTTTCATAAGGCAACAAGATCAGTTTACTCTAATACTCTCTCTCTCTCTCTATCTTTCTCTTTCTCTCTATCTTTCTCTCTCTTACACAATTGCAAACACACTTAATTCCTAACTGTGTTAATTCCCATCCTAAATAGGTGAGACTCTGATTGGCAATGATCCAATATCTGATTATTCCTTATGCTTTGACACCTGGCAAAGGAGTACAAATGATTAATGATGGTGTTTCCCGTTCGAGTTGAATGACCATTACGTTTTGGAAAACACTTGGCCACCTTTTTAAGGCCGCAGCCATCCTCGTATTCCGCTTCTACCCCGGTTAATCCTTCCCCCTCGAGCCGGCCCTTGGCCATGTGAGCTCCCGTTCTGATGTGTCCCCCCTTCTGCCTCCCCCACCTCACCCTCCTTTCGACCTGTCTGAGCCAAGTTTTTTGCCTCCCTACGCCACCCCCCCTTTTCGAGTCACCCCTCCGCCTCTATTCCGCTTTGGTGGGCATCTTCTAGCCCCTTAAGGATGACATTTGTGGCATAGAGAAATGGGGCCAATCCTTTTGGCAAGAAGCGGAGTTGGCATGCAGACATCTCTCAAACGGACACTTCTCATCCCCGACTGGTGCCAACTAGGCTCTTCTTTCCCAGCCTTCTCCCTTCAAAGGAGCAGCTCTCTCTTTGGCCTCTTGGTCTCGTTCCTTGGATGCCCGTGTGCCACAGAGATTCTGGTTGAGGATCGACCACATTCCTCTCCATACCTGGCATAGGAATACGTTCTCCTCTATTGGAGAGAAATGTGGTAAGCTAGTTGCAATCCATTGGAAGTCTTGCGAGTACTTGCCCCTCGCATCCATCCTTTTGTTGGTGGAAGTTTTGGAACCTTCATTCCTCCCGACCTTCCTCTGGGTTTGCCTGGACGGAGACCTTTTTCACTTAGCCCTATCTTGGAACCCTGCCTCCCCCAATGCTCTGTCACAAGCCTCTTCCCTTGGCCTTGCCACTATGGCAAAGACTTTGACGGTTTGACCCCCGTTCAGCACAAATCCTGACCCCAGCCACATGGTGCCCCCGTTGTCCCCTAGATTCCAATTCCATGCCACACAGGCCAACCCCTCCATCCAACGATGATTGTCTAGACCGCCAACCCCCTTTGACCCAACCCACTCTCTATTCTTCAGCTCCATTTTCCTGTTGTTAATCCTGAGGATCGATCTCCTCTGACACCGCTCGGTCCATCTCCAGTAACCGTTGTACTTGAGGATTCAAATATCTCGGTCGCCCTGCCAGCGGGAGACGCCTTTGCTATCCTTGGTCTCAAGGTACTATCAACTTTACTGTCGCTTATTCAGTTGTCCCCTGTCCGTACCCTTCCCTCTCCTTTTTGTGGCCTCGTGGCACCTGCTCCAGTCTCTCCCCTGGCTCCTCTTGCTCGATAACCTTCTCCCTCCTTTCACCCCTTTCCATCGTCTAGCCAAGTGTCTTCCCCAACTCTTGTCTTGCCCTTCTCATCTCGAGGCTCATCACTGCCCACCGCCTCCTACCTCTCTCTTAGACCTGTTGCCTCATTACTTCCCCCCCCCATCCACTTGACCTCTTCATCCCCCATCACTTCACCTTCAGTCAAACCCCCCTAGCTGCCATATCTCCCTCAACTGTCCCCTTCATCATCGTCCTCTTCTCTCGATGATCTCCAATATCCTCTGCTTGCATCAGTCCATGGATCCCCTCCCTCTTCGGCCGCTGCTTCCCCCTCCCTTTCCCTTTCCCCCCCCCCCCCCCCCTATTCCCTGTCCCTGTCCTCATCATGAGATCTCACACCTTTTCCCCCCTCCATCTCTCGTCTGCCGTTACTTTTGCGGAAAACCTCCTCTCCCCCTCATCTTCCATGGCTCGCAGGAATCGATCTAGACATGCCAAAAACTCCTGTTGTCTCAGGTAACCTTCCCTATCCCCTGAGTGCTCCACATCCCCCCTCTCCCCCCTCTCTCTCAGAGATCGTACCCTCTCCCACCCCCCCCAATCGTCTGTTCACGGCAGGCCTTTTCTATTGGTCCACTCAATCTCTCCGACTTCTTCAATACCCCCCCCTTTGGCCCTTATCTCGGTTCCCATTCCCTTGGCCTCTTCTTGCCCCGTTAACTCCTCTCTGCACCTCTCTCCTTCCCCTGGCTCCTTCGCCCCCTCTCATCCTCTCTCTGAAATCCCTCGGAACCTCCCCCTTTCCCTCTTGCCCCCAGCCTGGACCTCAGTGTGAGTACCCTTCTCCCGACGAACCTTGACCTCCCCCCCCCCCGCCTCTATCTTCTCCTTGGCCTTGTCTCCTGGCATGGCCAAGGTGTGGGCCCCCCTCCATCCTAGTCGATCAGCTCAACAGTGTCATCGTCTTCATTGGCACCTTCTGTGGTTTCAAGCTTCGTAATAGCTATGGACAGAGCACACACTAATGCGGACCAAGTGCTGCATGTCATCGGTTTCAAGTTCGATGGGTCCAAGGAAGATGTTGAAGCATTCTTCAAATCCAATGTTTAGTCAAGATTCAAAGTAACTTCCAAGGGCTCTCGAGAACTTGCAAACCTTGCTTGCGAGATAAATTACAACTATGGGATCATTCCCTCGTCCAGCCCTCGCCGAGGGCCTCTAGATCCCTCGTCCCTCTAAGAAGATCCTCCATGAGATCCGTCTCCCTCCCTAGCCTATGAAGATCTTAGTATGGAATATCAGGGGCCTTGGCTCTTCTTAGAAATCCTAGGCAGTCTAAGATTTTGTTCTAAACACTCCCCTTCTCTCTTGGCCTTAATAAAAACCGAGCTTCTGTCATCCTCCCTCCAAGTAAGGACGGTGTGGGGCCATAAAACCTGCCAATGGATTGCCCTCCAAGCCGACAGGCCTCAGGAGGAATCTGGATCATCTAGGATCCTTCTTCTCTAGTCCTCTTGGACTCTTGTTGTGCATCCCACTTCATAACAATTTCCCTGTCCAAAATGTCTGACGGCCTCCTGTGGAAATTCTCCGTGGTCTATGGTCCTGACTCGGACCATGCTCAATCTCTTCTTTGGCAAGAGCTAGACACTGCAGCCGTTAGCCCAGCTTCCCAATGGTCTATTGGAGGTGACTTCAACGTCACAAGGTGGTCCCACAAAAGGAATTCCACTACAAGAATTTCCCTAGCTATGCTTCGGTTCATCGACTTAATTAGTCGCCACGAACATTTGGACATCCCTCTCCGAGAAACTCTTTTCACTTGGTCCAACAACTCTTCTTCCCCGTCCTTCTCAAAGCTTGATAGATATCTTTGTTCCTAAGAATGGGACTCCTCGTTCTCTGGCACACTCTGTCTAACCCTACCCAAAACTACTTCGGACCATAAACCCATCCTTTTGGACACCAACCCTATCTGTAAAGGTCCTAAACCCTTTCGCTTTGAACTCTGCTGGTTGGAAGATCCCCCCCTTCTAGAGGGTTTACCGGATTGGTGGAGGTCCTTCTCCTCTTTGGCTATTGGTTGGGCAGGTTTCAGACTCCAAAAGAAATTTTCTCTTCTTAAGCAATCCTTGAAATCCTGGAGCAAGCAGTTACCTGGGAACTTCCAGGACCAAAAACTCTCCTTTCTTGACTCCCTTCATTCTCTAAACCTAACTGAAGACTCTCGCCCCTATCCTCGAATGAATCCCTTCTTCGCACCCAACTCAAAAGTGACTATCAATTTCTTCTCAAGAAAGAAGAAATTTTTTGAGTGCAACGTTTCCGAGTCAAATGGCTTAACTGTGAGGATCTTAACACTGTCTTCTTTCATAGGATTGTTAATTATAGAAGAAGGGACATCTCCATATCCCAAATCTCCCACCTTGGAACTTCTATAGATGACCCTTCATCCATTGAATCCACTATTATCGAGCATTTCAAAAACCTCTTCAGGGCTCCCTCTCGACCCACCCCCCAAATGGCTGATCTCTCCTTCCTAACCATTTCCTCTGACCAAGTAGAGTGGCTTGAGAGCCCATTCGAAAAACCCGAGATCCTTTCAGCCATTAGCTCTTTTGGGCAAGATAGAGCCATTGGCCCTGATGGCTTTCCTATGGCTATTTTTAAACATTTCTAGGATCTTATGCGTTCCAACCTCTTCTCCTTCTTCTTGGAATTCCACGGCCATGGAATTATCCACAAGGGAATGAATGCCACATTCATCACCCTCATTCCAAAGATCGAAGGCACAGTGGATCTCAAAGACTTTACACCTATAAGCCTCATCATGGCTAAGGTGCTGGCTGCAAGGCTTAAGTCGGTCTTAAGCTCCATCATCTCCCCCAATCAAAGCGCCTTCATAAAGGATCGCCAAATTTTGGATGGCACTCTAGTCGCACATGAATGCATTTGCTCTCGAACCATCTCGAAATCCCTAGGCTTGATTGTCAAATTGGATTGGGAAAAGGCCTACGACCATGTCAATTGGGATGTGCTCGAGGAGATCAAAAGAAGGATGACTCGATCAGCGTTGGAGGAAATGGATCAGGGGCTGCATCCGAGGTCCTTTCTTTTCAATCCTAATTAATGGCTTCCCCAAGGGGTTTTTCTGCTCCTCGGGGGGTCTAAGGCTAGGCGACCCCCTTTCTCCATTCCTCTTTGCAATTGCGGCAGAAGTCTTTAGTAGGGCAACGACAAGATTTTACCAAGCTGGCCTTGTAAATGGTTTCAAAATTGGGGCCACTGTCCCACCATCTCGCACCTCTAATACGTGGACAACATGCTTCTTTTCTGCGAAGCTTCCAGCATTCAAGTGGAAATCTTACTTCTCTTTTTGCACTGTTTTCACTTCGCATAGGGGATGATCAAATAATATGGACCCCGAACCCCTCGGGGATGTTCTCAGTATCTTCTCTATTCCACAAGATAAAGTCACCCCCTGTGGAGTACCCCTAATATCCCCATTATTTCCAAAGCTTGGAACTAATTCATTCCTCCCAGGGTTTGGGTCTTCAATTGGCTCACCTTGTGGGGTAAATTGCTAACAGTAGACCAACTCCAAAAGAGAGGAATCCAAACCCCCAATAGATGTGTGATGTGTTTCTGCAATTAGCAAACAAATGCCCACCTATTCATCCACTGCCCTTTTGCGGGCAATATTTGGAGCGACACTCTTCAACTTTTCTGTTGGAATTGGGTAACCCCAAAAGCGGTTATCCTTTGGGGCATTTGGAAAGAGCGTAACTCCAGAATTTTCCATGGCCATTTCTCCCTCATCCACAAGATCATGGAAACCATCAAGGGAATGGTGACATTTTGGGCCACCAACCACAAGGACGTTTTAGGCTCTTGTCTACCTTGGACTTCCACCTTAATTGGGTTAACATTCTCTCCCATAGACCGAGGAAAGTGCCTCGCTCAGCCTATTGTAGGCTTCCCGAGGTGGGAAAAATCAAACTTAATTTCCACGGGTCTTCTATGGGCAACCCTTGACCGGCCGGTATAGGAGGCATCTTTAGAAACCACCAGGGGATTTCCCTTCTATGTTTCTCCTCTTCCATTGGATCGGCAGATTCTACGGAGGCAGAAACCCAGGCCCTTTTGGAAGGGCTCAGACTCTTCAACCATTCTTGGGCTTCTTCGCTCTTAGTAGAAGGGGACTCCACAAATGTCATTTCCTGGGCCTTCTGCTCTTCTGCCCTCACCTTGGAGACTTTGGCAAATCTTTGATGAAATTTTCGATCTTTGCAGGCATATGCAGGTCTCTTGGACTCATATTTGGAGGGAGGCCAATCAAGTGGCCGGCGCACTAGCGAAGCGAGGAGCCTCACCAGATTAGCACAAGTTCAGCTACACCTTGCGCAGACTACTTTTTGTTTTTTTATGTTTTTAGTTTTTTATATCCTAAGCTTGTAGCTCTTGTTCATCACCTCACACGGTGATGTTTCTGCCCCTCGGGGTATTATGTAACTTTCCTTCTACTTAATGCAATGTTAACAGTATAAAAAAAACATTGATGAAACTATTGTTAATTTATCTTCTCGTATCAAGTCATACTCATGAGAGTGTTGCTTTTCGCAGTTAGTTTCTTTATTTTTTTGTTAATAATGATTTTCATACTATATGGCTCGTAGGGCAATTTGACATGAGTGTGGGGTCTTGTTCTTTGGTGCCTTCCATCCAAATATGATAACTCCAGGGCTCTGGAAAATAGCAATAATATATTTCCTGTTCTGTTTCAAATGTGAAAATTAGTTATTGGCAACCTTCAGCAGTACCATTATTCTCTGAACTCCAAGACCCATGTTATATTTTTCCCGACATGAAACTTGGTTAATAGTGTATAGCGGCAAGGTCCTTGGGGCATTTGGGGGAACACGGTGGGTTCCTTCAAGAGGCCCTGCAGTACCAGCCTGTGGAGCCTTCTTTGTTCACGCATGGGCTGGTTGAGCGGGATTAGGTAGTGGCTGTTGGCATACATGTTCCAAGGCATGTATGTCGATTCGGGCCTTATGTGCTCAGATCTGGTTAGAAGGAATTGCTATGGTACAATGAGAAGGGAGGCTCTTGTGAGGACCAGATCATGGACACTGTGGCCTAGATAATGGTCAATGGTGCAAATCTTCCAACCATTTCTGTAGCATTTGTTTACATTGCTTTGTGGTCAAGTATTTACAGCCAGATGTCTGGGTGATATTAAGGCTAGTCTATTTTCAAGGCGCAATTGATGTCTTCATGGCCATTGGGCATGGTATAGTCGTATGGATATACCACAATCATGTAGTTGGCCCTGTAAGATCCTACTTAACCTGGCATTGTTAATCCCTGTGTCTTAAATACTTGATTGTTGGTCAAAGTGAATCACGGATATCCGTATCCGATCTTTGGCATGATGACTGCTAACTGATTGCCGTTAATGTTTTTTCATTTCAATCTATAGACAGGGGATATCGTTGATGCACGTGATTGCCATTGTCAAAGTTCTAATGCCATCATGAAATCCTAATTTTTCCAAATGCTTCATTGATAAATTGAAGCCTGTGCATATCTCTAGGATAGTGATTACTAATTTTGACTGCAATGATTGCATTTGGTTTTTCTGCAGTGGATAATGCAAGCAAATGATATGCCATATTCTTGAAGTTGTCATTATCCGTATAACCTGCTGTACTAATTTTTTTCCCCTATTTCCTGAACTTGTTATGTAGTTTGACTTGTTCTGAGAACTAGTGATCATGATCATGTTCTTATTAATGTCATTTACTCTATCTCATTTTCTGTATTTCTAAACTGAGTTGACAATAACACATTTATGATTGTCACATTCTTAGGCTTATTCTCCTCAGTATTTTCTGGCAACTTATCTTTTGTAGTTTATGTAAGAAATTTATTGGGGTTAACTTTCTTGTCTTTGTTGGTTACACTAATGTTAAATTAAATTATGAGCTTCTGAATTGATTTTCTTGTGCTATCTTGCTTCTGTGGTTATTATAACAGTTATGCATTTTAACCAAGTATATTTGCATCCAGGAAGACGTTTTTTTGAAGAACTGGACAGAGATGGTGATGGTCAGGTGACACTAGAAGATCTTGAAATTGCGATGAGGAAGAGAAGATTACCTAAGAGATATGCTCGTGACTTTTTGCGTCGGACAAGAAGCCACCTATTTGCAAAATCATTTGGTTGGAAACAGTTCTTATCCCTAATGGAACAGAAGGAACCAACAATGCTCCGGGCTTATACTACTCTTTGTTTGAGCAAATCTGGAACCCTACAGAAAAGTCAAATTGTTGCATCATTAAAGAATGCAGGACTTCCTGCTAATGAAGAAAATGCTGTTGCTATGATGCGTTTCTTGAATGCAGACACTGAAGGGTCTATCTCTTATGGTCATTTCCGCAACTTTATGCTTCTACTTCCGTCAGATCGCCTTGAAGATGATCCTCGGTAGGATAAGTCTCCTTACCTTTTGTAAAAGATGGCATTGAACGTATTGGTGTTATTTATTTAAACTTTTTATGAGCTTCAATTGCATTCTAATTTAGGGAATGTAAGAGTGTGGTTGTATGTGTCATGTCAATTGGACGTGTGTTTCTTATGAAACTTTGCCTAAATTTTCATCAAGTTTATGAGGTTTTTGTTTCTGTTCTTTTCTGATAATTTTTTTTTCAAAATACTATGTATTATGATGTTAGCTTTGTGTTTATTGAGTAGAAACCGTGAACACTCTTTTTCAGTAATCAACCTTCATTATAAAAGTTTGGAGTAGCATTCTCTCTTCTGTTGATGCACGGGCTTAAAAGTCATGGTTATGATGTTCTCAGTTGCTTGTGTTGAACATACCGAAGCTCATGGCATTGTGGTCTTTAATAAGTCTTGAGATTAACCAAGCAGAGCACATCATTGAGGTTATTTAAGAATTTAGTGAAACAACTTTCAGGGCCATTTGGGTAGGAGGATTTCTAACCATGGATTTTATGCCCAGACAAAGGGTTTTTGGTGAGTTAGGTGGTGTTAGAATCTTATCACATGCCATCAAGTCAAGATGAAACTACCGTTTCTTTTGGATTGAGTACTCCACTATGGCTGAAGCTGTAGTGCTACGGCAAGGACTCAAACGTGTTTGACCACAGATGGGGCAACATACTGATGGTCGATGGAGACCTAAAGATCATCATTATTTGGACAAATCAGACCTCCACCTGCCCATGACATCTTGAACAGATTATGGAACAAAATTTTCAACTCTATGGACCTATCCTAGCTTCCATTCACCACATCTGCTGTGAAGCCAACCACATTGCGGACAACCTTATCAAACAGGGGGCTGTCAACCCCTCACTAGTTATCTACCACTCCTAGACGATGATAACTTCATTCTCATACATGTCACCCTCCTGTGTGGCGGATGCTATGTGTGTGTGTGTGTGTGCGCGCATGCGCATGCACATGCCTGCATGCTTGTGTGCTTGTGGTTTGAAGAAAAGTTTTGTGACAAGGTCCATGCCTTAATATATCTAGGTATCAGCTCTATTTTGAATAGCTTTTGCTTTCTTGGGTCTAGTCTTTCTGGGATCGTTTCATGAATGTTCTATGACTTCTATAGATGCTATTTCTAATGTCATATTATATAATGAAGCTAAGTGTTTTTCGTCAACACTCAAGGCTGGTCGCTGATGAATGATTCGTCAGAATCAGCAACTAACTTGCTCCACTGGTTCGTACAGGAATCTCTGGTTTGAAGCAGCAACTGTGGTTGCTGTTGCCCCACCTATGGAAATACCTGCTGAAAGTGTTCTAAAGTCTGCATTGGCAGGGGGACTTGCTTGTGCACTTTCAACTTCTTTATTGCATCCGGTTGACACAATGAAGGCAAGTTCCTTTTCTCTTCTCTAGTGTTGAAACATTACCGTGCAAGTTAAATTCCTGGCTTTCAACTGTCATACTTTCATTAATGGAAACTTTAAAAAGATCGGTCCTTCCATCTAAAATTCATCATCATCATCATAACCTTTTCCCAACTATTTGGGGTTGGCTAATTGATGAGATTAATATTCTCCTTTTTGTGTGGGAATGGAAATTGTTTTTCTTCAAGCCTCATCTATGCGTGAAAAGTACTTTACGTCATTTGTGTGATATATCAAACCTATATGTTAACTTCAGCCTTACAATTCAAATCATCTCTCTCATGTCATACTATTTAAACATATTTACATCGTTCAAAAAGTCAACCACCTGGGTTTTACAATATTCAAAGAGTCAGCGGGCTGGGAGGCCTCATCGCCTTGCATTGGGCCTCTGCGGCCAGGATGGGGTGGTGACCCTGGGCGGCCGACTAATCGCCTAGGGCACTGCCGGGGCAGGCACCCAGCTCATAGCTCTCTCCCAAGGCCCTTTTGGTGAGGGCGAAAATTGCCCCCTTGTCAAAAGAGCAAACAAAGTGATTTATTTAGAGGGCATTTTGGCCCCCCAAAAACCTAGAGAACTCTATTTGTTCTCTAAGAACACCACTCTTTTAGCTCAAAATCATAAGTTTTTGAAGGATTGAATTCGAATTCGAAATTTTCGATATCTTACGAAATTTAAAGGCATTCAACCCATAACTTTTTGGGGGATTAAAGTCTTAAAAGAGAGCTTTTGGCAACCAAAACTGACTGATTTAGGCTTACTTTGATCGGTTCTCAGAAGATTAGAGAATTTAATTGTTTATGTTTAGGGTTTCATATTTTGTATATGTATTGTTCTATTTTTTTAATCATTTCTTGTGCTTATTTTTTAAGTTTGGCCTTACATTTATGATGAAACCCCATTTTTTTTTAAAATGTTTTTTATTTTTGTTATTATAATATATTTTTGGCAATGTTTGCCTATGTTTCTAATTTTTTTGAGAAACGGTTAACTTGCCTATGTTTCTAATTTATAATGCCAATTTGAAAATTTATATTATATTTTTTACTTTGTTTCTTTCTTTCTTTTTTTTTTGGAGAAAAATTAATTATTGTATTGAGTGAAGGGTGTACAAAAAATGTGCATCCCCTAAAGGGGAGCTGTACAAGAAAAACCCTTAGGGGTCCAAAAAATGCTATACATCTGAAAATTAGACAATCAATTCAGTGCACCAAAAAACAGGGCTCTAGTGCTGGAAAGGATGCGTAAGAGTCTAGGGAGGTACCCTCCTAGGCTAGGGCTTCTGCAGTTGTTTGCTTCTCTCCAATTGTGTTGCCGAATCACTAGTAGATCTCTAATGAGATGAAAGATCTCATCGAAGATGTGGTATGGGCGCCAAGCACATGGGGAGGTCCGAGAAGCCCATGCTATGACAATATTTGAGTCCCCTTCCACAATCAGGATAGAACCCCAAGAAAGGTTGAAGTGGCGTAACCCTTCAAGAAGGGCAGTAACCTCTGCCGTGTTGGAGTTCGTAATGCCAATGAAATGAGAGAAAGAGAACGGGTATTGCCGCCCTTTCCCTAAAGATGCCTCCAATCCCTGAAGGACTGCGGTTACTGAGGGAGCAACCATCAAAGCTGAACTTAACTTGTCCCTACTCAAGTGGCCTCCAAAGAGACGTCCAGGGGATACGTTGTGTTCTGAGATGTAACAGGCTTTGCCAACTGGTCTGGAAATCAGAGAGCGCGAGATGTTGGAAAGCAACATTACTTTTTGCCCAGAAGATGACTAGTGATTTGATTTTTTCTTGAAGGGACTCAAGAGAAGCTCTCTCCCCACCGATGATCCTGCTATTTCTTTCCAGCCATACAAATTGCGGCTGCCACGGAAGCACACCAAAGGAGTATACCTGTTTTCGACCAGGAGTATGAGAGGCAAGTTCTGAAAAGGTGTGGGATGGAGTGAGGAGTTCCCCATGACCACTCGAATAGATGAAGTAAGTCCCTGTGAAGAAAACTCGCAACTTCACAGTGGATGAAGAGATGGGGGTTGGTTTCTTCCTTAAGCACATAATGCATTTATTTGGCAGGGGCAGACCCCCTGTTTGGAGTTGGTCCAGCATTAGGGCTCTTTCAACCCAGTTGAAGTTTTTGATCCAAGGGGGTATGAGGGGCAGCCAAGCTTTGGCTGCAACAGAGTGGGACTGGGGGCAGGGGGAAACCAAATGGGGCTGGGGACAATACTAACTTATCAGTTACGTCTAGGGGAAGGAAGCTGGATTGAAGAAGGGACGAGAAGGCTAGGAACTGTGGTAGATCTGTGTCCCAAAGTGGTCTCCTGAATTCAGGGTTCCACACCTTATTAGGGCCCAGGCGCTTGAAATTGTCGGCTATGGTGGCGTGGGGTTCCGTGCTACGAGGAACAGTTGGGGGAATTGTTCCCCCAAAGGTGAATTGCCAAGCCACAGATCCGACCAGAAAAGAACTCTGTTCCCGGCCTGAGGTTGGAACCAAATATTGCCAACGAACGGGCCGTAACTGTGCTAAGGACCTTCCACACCCCTGAGGAGTTAGTTGCTGTCTTACCTCTAGGGAGCCACTCAGCGGTCAAGCACTGATATTTGTGTTTAATTACCTATTGCCAAAGTTGGTTATGTTGGTTACCAAAGTTGGTTATGTTGATTTGCAACTGAGGAAGGCATCTGGAAAAGAGACATGTGAAAGATAGGGATGTTGGAGAAGGTGGCCTTGATGATGGTGAGGCGACCCGCAGGTGAGAGGAATCTGCCCTTCCATCCTGCAAGATGGCCATCAAATTTGTCCACTATATGGCTTTATTGGCTCTTGCGGGGCTTGCCAATGTGCAGATGCAGACCCAAGTAGGAAGATGGAAGCCCCTTGACTTTGCATCCCCAACGGTCGGCGAATTCGGCTATAACCAGATCATCAACCAAGACCCCGTCATCTTGGTTTTAGCCATGTTGACCCTAAAATCAGTAGACATCTCAAACAAATTTAGGAAGAAGTGAAGATCGTCGATCTGGGAGGAGTTAGCACCACAAAACAAAAGGGTGTCGTTGGCATATTGGAGGTGCATAATCGTAGGCTGCAAGATCAAAATATTGAACCCCGTAAGAAATCCACTATCATACATGCCTGAGATCGATCTAAAGAAAACTTCAACTACAATAGCAAAGAGAAACAGGGAGAGGGGGTGCCCCTGCCTCAAGCCTCTCGAAGATGGAAAATATCCTTTAGGGATGTCATTAATGAGAATGGAAATGTGAGGATTGGAGATACTGTGTATTATCCATTTTCTCTATTAATGGCCAAAGCCCATCTTGTGGAGAGTTTTGTCAAGAATAGTCTAATCCACATGATCATAGGCCTTCGCCCAATCCATGTTAATAATAACACCAGCGATCTTGGCTAAGTGGCGAGAATGGATGCACTCATGAACCACGAGTTCCCCGTCAAGGATTTGGCGCTCTTTGACAAATGCCCCTTGGTTAGGGCCTAAGACCCACTTGAGGACAGATCTAAGTCTAGAGGCTAGCACCTTCGAGAGGATCTTGTAGGAGGTTATTCTCTTTGATGGTAAGGGGCATAGATTCCTCCGTGAGTTCTAACGCTTGAATGGAGTTGAGAAGGCCCTCTTTTTGCTCTTTAAAGTTTCTCAGAAGGAATCGAGCCCAGTCTTAAGTGAATATTTGAGCAACTGAAATTCCTTTGTACATGAAAACCAGCCCATCCATGGACTTGGTGCTCTAAAGGCTGCCACAAAGATTGGACTAGGGATCTAAAGTTAGGCTCCTCGAGCCATGCCAGCTCAAATCGAAAAGGTCTGGGCCCCCCATGAGCTGGTAAAGTGTCCAAAAGAATCGGACAGTAGTCCGAAGTGGATTTAGGGAGGGTGAGGCGGCTGGAAAAGTAGAGTCCCATGCTAGGAAACCAAGTAACGGTCCGCTTTGTTTCTAATTTATAATGCAAATTTAAAAATATAGACTATATTTAGCTAAAAGGTTTGCAAACAACTGGTGGAGAGATGAGTGAGTTTTCAGTGACAATAGGTCTACTTCAGGGGTCAACATTGAGCCCATACTTCTTTTGTCTAGTTCTTGACGATTTAACTAGGCACCTACAAGATGAGATACCATTGTGTATGTTGTTCACGGATGACATAGTTTTGATCGATAAGACCTGAAGTGGTGTCAACACAAAGAACTTTGGAGGGATGCTCTAGAATTTACAGGTTTTTAAAATTAGTCAGACTAAGATAGTAAATGGAATGCAAGTTTAATAATGATAAGAGTAGAGACAAGGAAGTAGTTAAGGTTGGCAGCTAAGAATACCAAAAAGAGCGCATTTTTGATATCTTGGGTCTATAATCTAAGAAAATGGAGAGATTGAGGAAAATGTCACACATAGAATTGGAGTTGGTTGGGCGAAGTGGAGATGTGCAACTTGAGTTTTATGTGATCGCCACATACTAATAAAGCTGAAGGGTAAGTTCTATTGGACGAAACTAGCTTTGCTTTATAGGGTGGAATGATGGGTGGTCAAGAAACAACATACTCATAGGATGAGTGTAGCTACGATGAGGATGTTGAGATGGTTGAGTGGCAAGACAAGAAGCAATAGAATTTGAAAAATAAATACATTCGGGAGAACTTAGGTGTTGTTTCAACAGGGAATAAGATGAGAGAAAGTAGACTTAGGTGGGCTAGCTATGTGCAGCTTAAATCCAATACATCAACTGTTAGGAGGCGTGACTTGGTTCAAGTGGAAGGCTCAAAAAGGGCAAGGGGAAGGCCCAAAAGGACATGGTTGGAAGCTGTGAGAAAAGATATGGGGATTTATGGCCTCACTAAGGGTATGGCCATTGATAGAGAAGAATGGCGGACCAGGATTCATGTAGCCAACCCCAGATAGTTGGGAAAAGGCTCTAATGATGATGATGACTATATTTGACTATATTTCTAATTTTTAATGCAAACATAAAAATTTACAATACATCATCCCTCCCCCCGCCCAACCAATAAAACCTATTTTCTCTCCCTCCATTCACCCTTTAGGCGGTTTGGACCCCTGGCCGCCTGGGCTGCCGCCCCAGTCTTCTTGAACAATGCATATTTATTTAGATTCTTACTCCCCTTAAGTCTTTTTGACTTGTGCTAGTTTCGTTGTGGACCAGAAGTAAATGCTTAATTTTAGGAACCTATCAAGTCTCTATGTTTTCTGAGTGATGTTGTGTTTGGTGGTGTCAGGGATTATCTGAATCTTCTTAAACCCCATGAGGGGCAGAGGGGCGTTTGTGAGTTGGAGACTTAAAGCAGCGGTTCTGGCATTCAGGAAGCTGAGTTGTCCCATGTGATGGAAATTATGTTGAAAGTGTTGGAGGTTTAATGGGAGATAGTGGGGCTAGTGACACTGACCAGGTTTTACTAGAAAGCAAGATAGATGATGATTTTTGGGAATCTAGAACTAGTGGAGCCACTAGTGACACATTAAAAAGTGCAGAGTGCATACTATGCTTCACATCATGATGATGTTGTATGTCCGATACCTATTATCTCTTCTGAGACATCCCTGTCCTTTTCCACAAGATATGAGGACATGTAAGGATGTAGCACGTATGTCAAACCATTTCTGGGAAGTATAATTGATTTCACATCCTGTAATGTGTTTGCTGTGTCTCAGACAGCATCTATTTGTTCATGACTGTCTTTTGATGAGCCATTTTGAGAAAGCCGATTCACCATATTGGGCGAAATTGTTATAGTTCCCTGACAAATCGTCCTTTTGAGATGTAGCAATTTCTTGGTGCTGCTTTCGAAAGCAATCATAATTTGAACCATTTGATTTTTGATCTTTTCCTAGATGACAATATTTTTGGTAGGGCAGACCGGAAGAGATTCTACTCCAGATATGATATTTCCCACTTTTTTTTACTTTTATATTTTTATCAAAATTTCTAGCTTGTTGCATGCAATTATAGTGAGTTTTGAAAACTCTAGTTTGCATTTTGTCAGACTCGTGTGCAAGCATCAACATTATCATTTCCGGAGCTTATTGCAAAACTTCCTCAAATTGGAATACAAGGTTTATACAGGGGCTCTATACCAGCAATTCTTGGGCAGTTTTCAAGGTTAGGGTGTGGAGTGGGAATATTTGTAGTTTTTGAAATTTTTTTTGGTTATGCTCTGATATTTCCCATATTTCTTATGGACAGCCACGGATTGCGGACTGGAATTTTTGAAGCAAGTAAGTTGGTGTTAGCAAATGTTGCCCCAAATGTTCCTGAAATTCAGGTGATAAGAACTTCGCTCTTTTCAGATATCCTGGCTTTACCCTGCCTTCCATTTGCTCGTCTCCTTTCACGGTTTATTCTTTTTTTTTGCCATTTTCTTTGTTGTGTATGTATCTGAAGTTAAAATAGGGGATTGATAAAAAATGTGAGTATCCTGTTGGTGTCATTTCATCAGGTCCAATCACTTGCTTCCTTCTGCAGCACCATCCTAGGAACTGCAGTTAGGATCCCATGTGAAGTGTTGAAGCAGAGGCTACAGGCAGGCATATTTGATAATATGGGTGAGGCCATCATTGGCACCTTGCACCAGGATGGCTTTAAGGGCTTCTTTCGTGGAACAGGGGCTACGCTCTGTCGTGAGGTTCCTTTCTATGTTGCTGGTATGGGGCTCTATGCAGAAGCCAAAAAGGTACGCAATCGATCTTTTGTTTATAGCAGCCTTATTATATGCACAATATTTCCTCTTGAAACATCAACCAATGTTTTGAAGCTCGCCTCGGTCAAGGTATTCAGCCCTTGGCGGAGGCGAGTTACTTGGCCGAGTCCCAGTAGACTTGGCCGAGTTATGCACTCCCCCAAAAAATGTAAAAAAATAAAAAATAAAAAAATTGTATAAAATAGTTAAAAATAGAAAAAATTAAAAGAGGCAACAAAATTATTAGAAGACTAAAGAAGATAAAAAAAATCTATAGATTGTTGAAATTTTTTATTTATTACCTTAAATATTTCAGAAGAATTAAAAAAGGAAAGATTGAAAGGTTTTTTTGGAAGTTAACTTGAAAAAATTGAAAGTTCCCATCATCTTAAAAACTATATAAATCATCTAAGAACATATAGCTAAGATATTGGTGTTTTCCAATTATTTATTTTTATATTTTTAGCAGTTTTTTGGTGGTCATCCAGTTGACGCCCGAACTTACCTCACCAATGGGCTTCGGCCTCAGCCGAGATACTCAGCCAAGTTCAAGTAGACTCGACTGAGTCCAAAAACAATGCAGTGAACATATATTCACTGTCTCATTGGCCCTTCATAGCCTTGCACAATGCCTGCAGCACGGAGCTCACTACTGTGGCTTCAATTATTTCCGTAAGTATAGGGGACGGTTGAGAGCAATGGAAATAGTTTCTATTTGGAAATTTCAATAACGTGATTCATTTTCTCTTTATTAACACCCTTGTATCTTTCCAAATGAAAATCACTAGTGGAGCCTCTCTTAGACTTAATGGAGAATAAGTATCCACAAATTTAAACAATATAAAAGCTAAATGGTGAAATGAAAGTTCTGTTCATATCATTTCGGTGCTTCCCAACAAACATTGAGAAAGCAAGCAATTATGTCCTGCTACCTTATGTGTAAATAGTTCCTAGGACAAAAGAAAAAAGGAGTTTCTTGGCTGTGAGATGATCGTCTGTGGCAAAATGGCAATTAATAGTTGTTGTGAGCCCCTTAATTAGGAGGAAGGTTCTCTGAAGCCTATTTGTAAGATTGCGGACGCAAAACTCAGGAGCCCCGCGTGCAGGTTTTGATGCAATTTATTGCATGGTTCTGAATTTTCAGATACATCACAATCTAAACCTTACCATAGATGATCACCCGACAATGTGCTTTATTACGCATGTATTGGCCAGAATATTTAGGAAATAAATAGATGCCATGAAAGTGATTTCAGATTCGATGTTTACTGTATATTTCACATTAAATGTATCGACATTTCAGCAACTCTGTATCTGCACGTGTGCTATGTTTGGTTCTAGTAATTTTTTTATTTGACTACGTACAGCAAATGCTTAAAATAATCCAATGAGTGTCGTTTGCTTGTCTGAAGGCCACTCAGCAAGTTCTAAGAAGGGAGCTTGAGCCATGGGAAACAATAGTTGTGGGTGCACTATCTGGTGGGATAGCTGCCGTTGTTACAACACCTTTTGATGTGATGAAGACGAGGATGATGACTGCCCCTCAAGGTGTACCTGTGACCATGACGGCAATTGCTTTCACCATTTTGCGAAATGAAGGCCCTCTCGGTCTCTTCAAGGGAGCAGTCCCAAGATTTTTCTGGATTGCCCCTCTTGGTGCCATGAATTTTGCAGGGTACGAGCTTGCAAGGAAAGCCATGGATAAGTCAGAGTGCCCACCTGATGACCTTTCACGGCAGAAAAGTCTCGCTAAACCAAGGTGATTGCTTTATGTAAGTGACTGGATCATTGGATTTTATTTGTCAATGATAATGATGATGATGTGCTCTGGGGAGTGGCACACAAGTTTTTGGCAATCTTGAGTGGATGTAAAAAGAGGCCTTGATTTTGTAGACATGAAACAGCAATGATCTGTTGCTATATATTTTCATTTGTACATTCCTGTACATGTTATTTGTACAGTGAGTTTTCCTTGGAGTTTTTTGTCGTCCTTTCTACTGGTATTAGTTTGTAAGATACATCATGACATGGATACACATACCACAAAGTAAAGGCCTTTATGGACACAGACTACTTATTAATATGAGTGCGAAAAAAAAAATGAGTGACTGTAGTTTTGGTATTTTTTTTTTTTGGGGTAGTTCAGCGGGGACGAATTTTTCGTTTGAATGGTGAAATATCAATTAACAACTCGGAGAAAAGAATGGACATGGATTCTGGACAAGTATGTTTGAAAACTTGTCAATCTGGATTAAATCGATGGATATGGTCCAGGTTGAAAAATTGCTGATTCGGATGGGGAATAAATGAAATAAGAATTTATGGTTTATCAATGTATAAAATAAAATATAAAATGTTATGCCAAAGAAGTCAAAATATAATATAAATGTCGTGCGTCATTTATTGCTTGATTGGGGGGTTCGAACCCCTTCTTAAATCTCTTCTTGGCTTTTCTTTTTTCTTTTTCTTCTTTTTGAGTCGGATGGATTGTGATTAGGATCCGGGTAGTGAGTGACGAGTGGATGGTCCACCCAATGGATCTATTTTTTAAGAGAGCCTTCCATTTAAGGGTGTGGTTTATGATACAAAAGTCTGAACTCTTTTATCCCTCTTAATTGAACGAGAATGCCTTCCATTTAAGAGTGTCGTTTTTATAAGGTTGCAACCTTAAACAATCTAATTAAGGCGCACCTCCAAATTTTATCATAATATGTAAATTTAGTGTAATTTTTTTTAAGATTATCTAAAAATTTATTTTTATATCTAATTATAAATTTTAAACTACAAAAATGGTTAAAATCAAGTAGATCTATAAATATATGAAAATCTTGAAAATGGATGGTTTAGATAATGTGTTGCAAGATGCATTATTTCTACGACTCAATATTTTCTTTTTCATATTCATACATCTCCATGTCGAGATGATCAATTAGAGGGTTTTTCAACATTAAAACAACCTTTTCCGATAGATTTTTGAAGTGTATATATGATTCTACATTTTAAGGTTACAACCCTATATAAACTTTTTCCTCCATTTAAATGATTGTCCGTTTCGTGTTTCCAATCAAAGCACATCTCATTGCACAGCCTTGCTTTATTGACATTTGGGGAGGTGCTACCAAATTCGAGGAAACCCAAGTGGCATAGACTACTCTGCAACCTAAATATGCAGTTCATAAATATGGTGCAAGTCTTGAAAAAGTTCTGAACAATTTTTTCATACGGTCTGGACTCTACAATATGCAGTCCAGAGAAATGCAGTCCATAGGTATAAAACATCCATCTTAAAGATGGATGCAAATAGATGGTCCATCTAAAAATAATTGTAACTAATGGTCCAAATGTTTTCTTAATATAATTATTATTTTTAATTTTCAAAATTTATTTATTTTTTCATATTCATGATCTCTATGTTAAAAATTATACATCCTTTAAGATTTAGGATCGAATTATATTTACAATATATATTTATTACCAAGCTTGCATTTCTACATGTGCGGGCTTGGGTGCATGTAAGGAGCGCCCCCCACTAGACAAGGTTATTTCTATGCTGCAAAACCCTTAGAATGCAAGCTTTCATGTGGTTCGTTGCTAGAGATTGGACATTGTCTAATGGGCAAATGAGAAAGCGGGGCTTACCAAATGTTGTGGGCCGATGACGAGAATGACCTCTGTATGCATTGTCCATTCTCAAAGGCAATGCCTCCGGCTTCTTACAAATTAAAACAATTTTTTTTTTTTTTGGACAAATGTTTCGTACTTTATTAGAAAAATCTACTCAAAGGAAATTACATGAGAAGAAATAGCAAGAGCAAACAAAGAAGCCCCTCCTTTAGCAAAAGAGTCGGCCAAAAAATTCGCCTCACGATAGACATGACAAAACGAGACTGAAATTGGAGCCACCAAGTCCATAATATGCAACCAGGAGGACCTCAGCTCCCAAAGAATACGTTGCTCCTTCTTGCACCATTTAATAACATTTAAAGAGTCCCCTTCAATAATGCCAAAAAACCCCATATTTCGAGAGAGAAATTTTTTTTTCCCTTGCAATAGTGCCAATAACTCCGCTTGGTTAGTAGTGGCTACATCAATAGGACCAACATATGAGAAGATAACCTCTCCAATACAGTTACACACCACTCCCCCAACACCAGCCTAACTTGGATTACCCAAAGATTTCCCATTAAAATTTAACTTAAAACCTCTATACTTTGGTGCCACTCAAATACTCCTTAGTCTCAACTTAACTCTACCCATCAAAAACAAGTTTGGCAAATTCAACAGAGCATCAGGTCGTGAAATTCCCCAACCCTCCTTAGTAATCAAGAACCAAAACCAAATAGACAATTTGACATTATTAAGCAATCTGTCAAGTGAGGGACTCTTACCTTCAAACGTCCGCCTATTTCTGTTTTTCCAAAGTACCCAAAGACTAGCCCCTCTTGCTGTTTACCAAACCAAAACCCCCACAGAAGGTAAATGATTAAAGGCTATATGAGACACTAAGCCCAACACGGATCTGGGAAGTGAAGTGTGAACTCCAAGAAGCCCAAACAACTAATACCAAATTCTAGAAGCAATGTGGCAGTGGATAAAAAGGTGATCCTCATGTTACTCATCCGCTTTACACATCAAACAAATATTAGGTAAGATTTTACCGCTCTTAATCAAATCGTCAACTGTTAGAGTTTTATTTTTGATAGGTAACCACAAAAAAACCAACACCTTATAGGGAATAGGCCATTTCCATACATTGGCAGCATCAAGTAAAGACCATCTTCAACGATCATTGAAAAAAAACCTATAACAAGACTTAACTGAGAAAACCCCATCGCATTCAACTTCCCAAATCACTTCATCTAACGTCCACTGTGAAATATAAGTTGAGTCGAAAATACCCATCAAATCATTCCATTGAAAATAAACATCTTCACTCAACCTATTATATGGAAAAATAATACTCCAAACAACACGATTACCTCTCACTTCAACCATATCAGAAATCTTAGCATTAGGTTGCAAGACCTTAGTAAAAAGTTCCGCATAAGTAAACTTAAGAAGGGCATCACCTATCCACTTATGATGCCAGAACGAGATGTTATCACCACATCTCACATTTCAACGAAAATAACCTGCAATCATAAGCCTACATTTGTAAATGGACTTCCACAGAGAAGACAACTCCGTATTTTTACCCCCTCCTATCCACATACTTTGCCTATCCAAACCATATTTTGAAGACAAAACCTGATACCAGAGTTGATATGTAAAATTGAAGCTTCTCCACCACCATTTACAAAGCAAAGCCTCATTCATATATTTCATTTTTCTGATGCCAAGACTACCTTCACTCTTAGGTGTACAAACACGATCCCACTTTAGTAGATGATACTTCATCTCTTCCCCAAAAGACCCCCACAGAAAATTACGTATCATTCTTTCAATTATCTTAATAACTAAGGTTGGCATCTGAATAAGAGACATCAAATAGATTAGTAAATTAGCCAAACAAGAACTTAACAAAGTAACCCTCCTACCAGTAGACAGGTATTTCGGTTTCCATAAATTCAACTTCACATGGACTCTCTCTAACACCTTATCACAAACTGCAATAGAATGCCTGGAATTAGAGTGGCATACCTAGATCAGTAAAGGGGGAAGAGCCCACCGAGTAACCCAAATAATTTGCTAAAGATATAATCACCACCGAAGAGCAGTTAATTCCTATCAAAGCGGTCTTATGGAAGTTGACCCTCAAGCCCAAAGCCACCTCACAGCAATCTAAAAAAATGTGCAATGCTTATCGCTTGCATTTCGTCCGCTTCACAAAAAAAAAGCGTATCATCTGCATATCAACCACCTTAAAACCAGAGAAATGCCCAAAACATTCCACATTACAAATCATCAAACTAAAGCACTCTTCATAGATGAAAAAAATGAATGGTGACATAGGGTCATTTTGGCGAGGACCCCTGTAAACCTTAATAAAACCAATAAGACTTTCCTTAACAAGCACTGAGAAATGGGCAGAGAATAAACATCCAAAATTTCAACTTCTCCATTTAGCCCCAAAACCCATATTTTTAAGGATTTTTCATAAGCACCCCCCATTCCACTCTATCATATGCTTTCTTTAAATCTAATTTAATAATGCTCCAGGAACTTGAGTTCTTACTCTAAAATGGATACACTATTGAGCCACTAAGATACTATTAGTGGTTTGATGATTCTGAATGAGAGCAGATTGTATGTTAGAGATGAGAAAAGGTAACAGAGACTTCAATCTTTCAGCCAAGACCTTAGCCACAATCTTATAAAGACTTGTTAGAAGACTTATAGACAGAATACTTCAAAGTTCTGCAATCACTGATTTTTTGGGGATAAGAGCAATATAAGT